GACAGGGTTTCACCATGTTGGTCAGGCTGGTCTCGAATTCCTGACCTTGTGATCTGCCTACCTTGACTTCTCAAAGTGCTAGGATTACAGATGTGAGCCATTGTGCCCGGCTGGAATTGTGGCTTTTTTTTTTTCTGAATGAGGCAATTTATTAATCCAGCATGGTTTGTTCTAAATGCTTCTTGTTGGTAGCTGCCACCTGTCCGGCGATTCTGTCCAGATCTCTGTCCCTGAGGTGTCAGTTTGCAGCCCCCATCTTGGTCCTTTTCTGCCATTTTCAGCCCCTCCAGGGCTTGGAGGACCAGGCGGGCCACACTCTTGGAGCCTCGGCTGAAGGGGCTGGGCATGACACCGTTTCTCTGACGTCCCCCATAGATCTTGGTCATGGAGCCAACGCCAGTGCCATCCCAGAGGTACAGGTGCCGCGCTGTGGAAGCAGCTTGCGTGTAGAACCAGTTTTCATCGTAGGGAGTAAGCTCTTTGACGGTGTCCACCCATTCAGGGACTTTCAGCTTCCCGGACTTTTCGAGAAAGGCTGCCAGAGCTCTGAGGAACTTCTGCTGGTTCACATCTGTCACAGTAACTCCAGGCATCATGCAGCCTCCTCCCTACCAGCCAGGGGAAAGGGCAGAATCGTGGCTCTTAATCCAGATAGGCAGGCCCTAGTGTTGGTGGGGATCCCCTACTTGCTGGTCTTGAAGTCCTAAACTCAAGCGATCCTCCCACATTGGCCTCCCAAAGTGCTGAGATTATGGGGGTGAGCCACTGTGACTGGCCCCTTTCTTTCTTTTGTTTCTTACTCCTTCCTTCTCTCTTTCACCATTTCTCAGAAGTGGGTGGTTCAAGGATTTTCCCTGACTAGGAGAAGAGTACGCGAGAGCCCAGGCGGGCAGGGCGAGTCGCAGAGCTGCAGCCGGGCCAGAACTCACGCAAGGCTGCCTCCAGGAATCGCGTTGTGGCATGTGCTACAATTGAATGCCTTTCTATTGCTGAGTAGTCTTCTATATTCTGTGGGTGTTTATCCACTCCTCAAAGCTAATACATATTTGGGTTTCTTCCAGTATTTGGCTTTTGAGAATCATGCTGCTGCCTGGTGTGGTGGCTCATGCCTGTAATCCCAGCAATTTGGGAGGCTAAAATGGGATGACCATTTGAGGCCAGGAGTTTGAGACCAGCCTGGGCTACATAGCAAGACCTTGTCCCTAAAAGTAAAATAAAATAAAATAACAAATAATGCTGCTATAAAATTTTTTGTACATATTTGTACAGACATGTGTTTTTATTTCTCTTGGAGAAATACTTAGGAGTGAATTTGTTGGGTCAAATAGTAAGTGTATGTTAAATCTTACAACACTCTGGCTTCCTAAGTTCCAGAGCAGCTGTACCATTTTTCATTTCCACCAGCAGTGAATGAAAGTGACACATCTTCACCAACACTTAGTATTGCCAGTCTTTTTACATTTAGCCATTTTAGTGGGCACAATGATATCCCATTGTGGTTTTCATTTGCATTGTCTGATGGCTAGTGATTTAGAGCAGTAAGCCCCAACCTTTTTTGGCACCAGAGACTGGCTTCCTGGAAGACAATTTTCCCACAGAGAATTGCTGATGAAGGCTGAGGGATGCTTTCAGCATCAGGGATTAGATTTTCATGAGGAGCACACAACCTAGATCCCTCGAATGTGCAGTTCACAATACGGTTTGAGCTCCTCTGAGAATCTAATGCCGCTGCATTAGATTCTCAAAAAAATAAAAGGAAAGATAAATTCATTTCACAAGTCAATGTATACGGTTCAGAAAAACATTCCAAGTGGTGCATGCGGAGGTGGTGGTCAAGGTCCTGGAGGACACATGGGTATAGCAGGTGGCTGAGGTCCCAGAGGACAGTGCGGTGAAGGACTCAGTTGAGATGGCAGAGGCCAGCCAAGTAGAGGAGGTGGCTGATATACTACAGGAGCCCCAGGAGAAAGTGGCTGAAGTCCCAGAGGCCACGAGTGGAGACTATTGAAGTACCCGAGGTGACTCATGTAGCGGTGGTAGTTGAGGGGCCACAGGCCACCCGGGTAGAGGAGGTGGCTGAGGCTGAACAGGCTGCTAAGTGGAGGAGTAGGCTGAGGTCCCACAGACCACAGAGCAGGAGAAAATTGCTGAGGTCCCAGAGGAGAGACACCTGCAGCAGGTAGATGAGGTCCCAGGGGACAAGAAGCTGCAGTAGGTTGATGAGGTGTTGCAGGACAGACACCTGCAGGAGGAAAATGAGGTCCCAGAGGACGGAAGCCTGCAGGAGGTGCATGAGGTCCCGGAACACAGATGCCTGCAGGAGGTGCATGAGGTCCTGGAACACAGATGCCTGCAGGAGGTGGATGAGGTCCCGGAACACAGATGCCTGCAGGAGGTGCATGAGGTCCCGGAACACAGATGCCTGCAGGAGGTGGATGAGGTCCTGAGGGACAGACGCCTGCAGGTGGAAGATGAGGTCCGGGGGACAAACAGCTGCAGGAGGCTGATGAAGTGTTGCAGGAGAGACACCTGCTGGAGGAGGATGAGGTCCCAGGAAAGAGACAGCTTTAGGAGGTTGTTGAAGTTCCAGAGGACACTCACGTTTGGAAGGTGGTGGAGGTCCCAGTGGACACTGTAGTTATCGGAGGTTGTTGATCTTCCAGGGCACACTCATGTTCAGGAGGTGGTTGAGGTCCTGGTGGACACTGTCGTATCGGAGGTTGTTGAAGTTCCAGAGGACACTCACGTTTGGAAGGTGGTGGAGGTCCCAGTGGACACTGTAGTTATCGGAGGTTGTTGATCTTCCAGGGCACACTCATGTTCAGGAGGTGGTTGAGGTCCTGGTGGACACTGTCGTATCGGAGGTTGTTGAAGTTCCAGAGGACACTCAAGGTCAGGAGGTGATTGCGGTTCCAGCGGATGCTCGACTGGAGTATGTGGCTGAGGTCCCTTAGGAAACTCACGTGGTTGAGGTGTCTGAGGTCTCAGGAAACCTTCAGCTGGAGAAGGTGTTTCAGGCTCCAAAGGTTGTTCCAGTGGAGGAGGTATCAGAGGTTCTAGAGAAGGTTCAGTTGCAGAGAGTGATTGAGGCCCCAGAGGACCGGCAGGTGGAGGAGGTGCCTGGCAGCCCATCAATGGTCTGGAAGGGCCAGCCATGAGGTAGGGTAGGTTCGGCCATTCTGACAGAGGACGAGGCTCCCGTTCAGCCATGTTGACCTGCAAAGCAGAGGAGGAAATGTTTGGAAATCTTTTAACATGAAAGAAAAAACACCAATACGCACACAAGCTGCACCTGATGCTGCAGGTGACCGTCCCTTGCCCCTTCCCCTTCTTCAGGTTTCTAAATGGCAGCATCAGTGCCATAAAGCAACCATTCCACCAAGTCCTGCTGACAGCAGGGGAGTGAAAACAAGCCATGGGGACAAACTGTTGTCCCCATGCCACTGTGTCTGTCTGCAAATGTAGGCAGGCTGGGGGCCTGTCCCAGGGAAGACAGAGTCACTATGCAGTAATAAAGAAGTATGTTTCTGACACAGGGGTGTCTATGTGGATCCACATTCTTATGTAATCGACATTGGCAATTTTTGACAGTCTCTACGGAGACTGAGTTTTAAATATATACTCGGTCTCCGTAGAGACTGTCAAAAATTGCCAATGCCGATTATATTGCAAGTTGTCACGGCGGGGTATTGGAAAAGTTTTAAATTAGCCATTATCGCACCTCGAATAAACCTCATTGGCTACAATGCTACTGCTACGCAAAGCTAAGTCACAGCTATTCTTACGAGAATGTTCTCCAGGCTTTTCGTGTTCTGTCTCTGATTCTCAGAACTCTGCAAGGTCAGTGTGACCACCCTGCTCCAAATCTAAGAACATGAAGGCTCCCAAAGGAAGGAGAACGTTCACTCTGGGTCACACAGCTTGCAGGAGGCAGAGTGGAAGTCGATTCCAGCTCTGCCTGCAGGACCCTCTCATCCTCCCTCTGCTTCCCTTCTTGACAAAGGCTCTTCTCCACTCTGGAGGTGCCACCTGTGGGCACAAAGATCTCTGGGGAGATTTGGATTCCTGAAGACCTGCAGGGGAATTGGGAGAGGGTTTTCTGACAGAACAATCCTACGCACAGATGTTAGTTTGGCACAGTATCATATTTCTTTTAACTTCCAACTTTTAAGTGCACTATGACATAAAAGATAATAATTTTGGCCGGGTGCGGTGGCTCAAGCCTGTAATCCTAGCACTTTGGGAGGCCGAGGCGGGTGGATCACGAGGTCAAGAGATCGAGACCATCCTGGTTAATCTCTACTAAAAATACAAAAAAAAATTAGCTGGGCATGGTGGCGCGTGCTTGTAATCCCAGCTACTCAGGAGGCTGAGGCAGGAGAATTGCCTGAACCCAGGAGGCGGAGGTTGCGGTGAGCCGAGATCGCGCCATTGCACTCCAGCCTGGGTAACAAGA